ATAATAAATCCCAAAATTTATTTAATTACTTATAATTATTAATTGATTTAAATATTTGACAAAATTATGTTCAAAATGCCTTTAATAAACAGTTGACACAATCCATGTTATAATACATTATTTTATGACTTCTTGTATGGCTTTTTGGTCTTCTTATCTGAATGTTTCTTATGAGACATTTTGTGGTTTCGATACGACTTCTCCTGTCTATGAGAATGAGATGAAGTTTCGGGTGATTCTTGTCGTGCATTCGGCGCCGGAAGTGCCAACAGTTGCGGCCGATGTGTCGGAGGGGCCGCTATTTGGGGCCGTCGATAGTGCTGTCCGTACGCACCCATGCGTTGTCTGAACTCATTGTTGAATTGCGGCGCCTCTTCCTCTTCAATGTTAATGTACTCATTGTTCGCCTCCTCTTCTCCGGTGTACTGATTGCGAGTCCTTTCCATCACATGAGCCCTATCTTCGATGTGTCGTCCGATAGACATCTTCTGGAGACCACTGCGAGAGTCGCGGACACTACTAGTCGTCTCGCGGACTCCTCCCGGACCCGATCGGGACGAGTGCGACGATTCGTAGATCTGTGGCCTTCCGCTCATATCAGTGCTCATTGAATAGACCGACGAAGACGTGCTGTAAGAAGTGCTATACGAAGGACTCATGTGATGACTAAAAGACATTGAAGAGGTCGGGAAGAGTGCGTTGGAGTGCGACATAAGTCGAGACATGGGATCCATCGCTGGATTGAAGGCCGGCATCAGTGGGAAGGGAGCGCCGAACGGATCCCTGACTAACATGTCATTCATGTTTGTCATCATTGATGCCATCATTCGGTCCATTCTTCTGCAAGACATTCACATATCAATACAACATTCGTGTCAACACAACCACTTCCTCCTCAGTGTTCATCACTCACCCAAACATATCGTCCATTTGCCCAAAACCTGTGAAAGACATCTACGAAACACAAATCAAATGCAAATCTCTTTTGTGACGGTTCTTGTGTTGATGAGTGGTGTTCAGAGAGGGCGCGCGTGTAGTTATGTATGTTTCGATTTTCGAGTAGCGATATCTCGAAAACTATGGCTCAGATTTCTCTTAAACTTGATTAATTTTGTGATGACTAAAAGACATTGAAGAGGTCGGGAAGAGTGCGTTGGAGTGCGACATAAGTCGAGACATGGGATCCATCGCTGGATTGAAGGCCGGCATCAGTGGGAAGGGAGCGCCGAACGGATCCCTCACTAACATGTCATTCATGTTTGTCATCATTGATGCCATCATTCGGTCCATTCTTCTGCAAGACATTCACATATGAATACAACATTCGTGTCAACACAACCACTTCCTCCTCAGTGTTCATCACTCACCCAAACATATCGTCCATTTGACCAAAACCTGTGAAAGACATCGAAACACAAATCAAATGCAAATCTCTTTAATTAATAAATTGTTTTCAAATATAATAACAAATGAATTGAAAACAGATTTTTCACTCTTTTCTCGATTTGACGATCGATTTCTCATTTGTGTCCCAAATGGCTGTCCATTCATATATAACGTACGCCAATCGGGAGTGCATTGCATGCATTTGCATACCATTCACTCCACTTTACTCTACACTACTCTACAAATTGTATAACACTAGACATCCTCTCGATATAGAGGTTAGCATTGATTTCAATTGACATCAAATCCGTTCACAACTACTTCATACACTTGTATCACACAATCTATGCTCTCATTTAATACATCAATCATTCAATTAACTAATCATTTGCACAAATAGTCACAACACATCTCACAGTCATCTCAAATATACCGACAAATGTTTCATTGCTTGTCATAAATAATGGTTAGTCTTCTACGGACTCTTTGGGCGCTACAGTCGTATAGACTAACAGTAAATGCATTGATATATTGGTGAGACATTAGCCCCGATAGCAATGCTGGTCACTCTATGGTCACTCGACCACATATATCGGCACCTGTCCTATATTGAGTGCATTGAAAGCTTTCAGTTTACAAATTAAGTGAAACTAATTCAATGTGTTTTATTAGTTATGAAATGCATGTAAAGTTTGACCAAATATGTGATATGTATTAGTGGTATATCTGTATAGAAGTGATGGCAAGTGTTGGAAGTGTTGGAAGAGTTAACAAGTTTTTTTGGTTCAAAGGCCGTCAATAATCGATTGCCTGAATCACTGCTGCCTTCACAGTGTGTACAGTGAGGAGAGTGTGTGAGTACTGTATGTGTACTGTATGTGGCATTTAATGGTCGATAGTATCGCTGATGTGGTGAGCGATGTATCGATAGTGAGGGGAATAATATATTGAATAATTGATTGGTTTCTAAGATTTGGTGATTTGTGTAATGATTAGTGCAATGAATACATGAGTAGACGTGATGTTTGTGTCAACACTACGTTTGTATGAGTGATGGTATGATGTAGTGTCTGAAGACATCGTCTATGAGTTTGCGGTGATGTCTGCCAATAGTAAGGCTCCCTATTATTACGGAGAGCTCATTAAAAAGGAGAATCCAAACAATCC